TAAGTAAATGCAGAATAGCGTTCTCAAAAGCCAGATTAAATGGACTGCCATCCAATATGCTGTAGGGTAGATTTCCAAAAATTCCCACCTCTCAAAGATTTTGTCCCTGTAATGACCTGATCCTGAAACACTGGATCGTATTTTATTGTATTCTGAATTTTATAAGAGTCTTTGGCAGGAAGTTATCTGGCCTATTTTAAAATCTAAACCAGGAAGGGATGCTTCTGAGTCTGTAAAAATTTTACTTGCAGATGAAAGTCCTGTGATCACAGTGGCAACAGCCAGATTTTTAACTATGGCTATAAAAACAAGGTTTTTAGCAACAAAACAATGAGTCGGGCCTTTAAGTGTATCGTGTAATATTTATTAAATATTCTATTTGTTAAATTGTTTTATTCAATGTCAAGGCTAGATTATATTTGTAACATGTTTTGGGGCCTTTTGGCTGTAAAATAAATAAATAAAAATAAGTTTCCACTGACGATTGCTGCCTGGCTAGGAAATTAAGTGGATGATTATCCAATGCGATTAGCAAGCCGCCTCCGCCCGGGTCCACGGTTAACCAACCAGAAATCCTTTTCCTGAGCCAGTTCATAAAAAAGGGACGCTTCGCTTTGCATGAAAATAATCCCCAACTAAATCTCTGGGGTGGGAAAAGCAGTGGGAGCTGAAAAATGGATCCCGTATAAATCTTGGAGAATTGCTGCCTGGAGCAACTGGCTTCTTCTGAACCTGGTGATGCTTGCCTGGAGCAAATGGGGTCCATACGTCAAGGAACAATGCCCCTCAATAATAAGTCTTTGTTATTTTCTTGGCAAAAAGGTGCAAGCTGATTGCTGGGGGATGTTTTTCATTGGCCGCCCTAGTCTACAGCTTTGGGATTTCTTAGTGGTCTCCTATCCCAGTACGACCCAGATCCCTCCATGCTTATTTTTTTCCAGATCAGTCGAGGTTAGCCGGGTGACAATGGGGGGCTGCAGTTCTAGTGAAACCAGGCTGGTATAGGTAATACTAAGCTTAATCAATAAATATTCTTACTCAGTACAGGGCAAATTCCTTTATTCTTAGGCTAATGCGACTCCGAGGATCTGAAAAAAAATGGAGGGGGGATTGTTTGATGCTCCAAATATTGCTCTTATTTACACTTCTGCAATACCAGGGTGGCCTCAATTGGCCTTTTGTTTCTAAAGAGCAGTGTTTCTCAACCGTGGCCCCTTGAAGACGGGTGGACTTCGACTCCCAGAATTCCCCAG